TTTTTTTTTTTTTTTTTGGCAAAAATTTAAATGAATTTTTATTTTTAATTTCTTGTTTTTCCCCCAAAGCTGTATTTAGGATAATCCTGTTTGAAAGTTTTCATTCATTTTAGGAAATTACGTATTTTTGTGTGTTTTCGTAAGTAAAGATACTGAGGAGGTTTTCCTTTATAGGACTGTTGTTTTTTTCCCCCTACCCCAGATATGTAACTATATAATATAGGTAAATAGGAGTTAGAGTGTTGTTATGAAAATTATTAGAGGTGTTTGAAACCTGATATTTATAACTACTTCGATTTTGGACTTTTTTCCCTCACCTTATAGAGTCCAGTTAACAATGTGTCTCCGTGCCATCATTAAATATGATTTCCCTGGTCACTGGCCGGCGGTAGTCGACAAGATAGACTATTACTTGCAATCACAGAGCAGTGGAAGCTGGCTTGGCAGTTTATTATGTCTGTATCAACTGGTGAAGACATATGAGTAAGTTGATTTCTGTTGGCTGAAGATACCAGTCTTGTGTTACTTAGAAAGGATTAAATTGCATAGAGAGATCTGCTCTATGGGTGTTCTGCAGAATCAGGTTAGTTTGGGAAATGTTAGGTTAAGCACAAACATGTTTATTTACTACAGTTATTCAAAGAACCTTTAATCTGCTATTGTACATTGCTAATCTCTAAGGCAGTGATAAGATATGCAGTGTTTCTTGAATTTGTCAGTTTCAGAGGCCCATTTATTAACAGCTTTCCTTGGAAACTCTCATATAGAGGTACTTTAACATTTGTGTTCAGGTGAGTGCATTGTTAAGTAAACCAAACGTTTAACTTTTTGGATGCAAGATGTTGAAGTTTCTTTGCTAGTAACCTTCTTTTCGATAAAAGTTGCTTGGGAGATAGGAGACTAGTGTCACATTTAATAGCATTGCTTTCTGGTTTCTAAGAGGATTGCTTCCTTCTTAGGTATGCAGAGTCCTATAGTTAAAAACTAGTTAGTTCAGACTCTGTAGAGTCTTTAGAAGATATTTTAAATTGGGAGCAATTGAAATGATCTAAGAACACCTAAGTTTGCAAGCTATTTTAGGTTCTCAATTTAACGTATTATAAGAAGAAATGTTTTTTCCCCACATTATAATAGGATTGTCCATTTAAAAAGGCATATCAACTTGTATTTTATAGGAAGAGTTGTGGTATGATGAAAATTTAGTAGAAAAATTCATTTAGGAAATTTGCTAAATAGTCTAGAATGCTTTTAAATCAATTTAAATCTTTCTAGAAAGATTTTAGTTTCGCTGCCTAAAACAGGGATGTGCTCTTTCAAAGTTTCTTCCAAGTTTATTCTAACAGTCCATACAAAATGTTAGCCAGTGTTTGGAATGTTTTGTTAGCTTTATCTAGTTTAAAAAATATTTTTTTGTTCATTATTTATAGCTCTTTTGTAGGGGGGGAAATGATTTTTTTGTCTTTTTGTCTTTGCTCATGTAGATATAAGAAAGCAGAGGAAAGAGAGCCTCTTATAGCAGCAATGCAAATATTTCTGCCTCGTATTCAGCAACAAATCATGCAGCTCCTTCCTGATTCCTCACATTATTCTGTTTTACTACAGAAACAGATTCTGAAAATCTTTTATGCACTTGTTCAGGTAAGTTTCTACTGCAGAAGAAAAATATAGGGTCTTGTAAATATGGCATATGGAAAGTGCTTAATAAGTGTCAGTTATTAAAAATTATTATATATTCTCACATGTATTTATTTATTTTTTAAAAATGTTTTATTTATTGAGGTTGGGATGAGGGGAACAGAGAGAGGAGAGAGAGAATCCCAAGCAAGCTCTGCACCGTCAGCATGGAGCCTGACGCAGGGCTTGATCTCACAAAACTGGGATCATGACCTGATCCGAAATCAAGAGCTGGACCCTTAACTGACTGAGTCACCCTGGTGCCCCTCACATGTATTTCTTAAAAAAACAAAAAACAAAAACAACCTCATGAGAGAATAGGCTCACAGAAATTAACTTAGTCATCCAAGGTTATCTTAGTGTCAGAGCTCAGAGTCACTGACTATACCTTTCACTCCAGTGTCTGAAGTGCTGGGTAAGGAAGAACCAGGGTAATTAACTGCCCCTAAATTACTTGCTTAATCTGTCAGCATTCTGCCTACTGATAAATTAGGATTATGGGAGAAGAGGAGGGAAAAGAAGAGGGTCCCTCTTTTACTGGGAAATCATACTGGTGATAGTTTCTTTGCAATTTGACCCAATTTAAAGCTAACAAAAAAGATTTAGTACCTCATTTTTCTTCACTTAAACTACTTCCTTTTTCTTATCTGAAAGCTATAAAGAATATTAATATGAGAGTCTAAAACGTAATTAGAAGGGGACAGAGATGGAATGTTTTAAATATAAAAATATTTTAAATTTAATCCTTGAAAGATTTAGATAAATTATTTAGATCTGGGTGGAGGAAGAATAATTGTCAGGCTCTAAAGTGTTTGAAGATGAATGAGTCATATCTCTGTTAGCATGCCTTTTTTTTTTTTTTTTTTA